GTACCTTGCTCTGCCAGGTAGACTTTGTTAATTTCAGAGTCACCCAGGTGATAATGGTTAAAAAAGTAAAGGGATAATAGGAAGCAATTGAGGTTTACAAATGTATGGCAGGACTAGAGTCCCAAAGAATGTGCAGTTGCAACAATAGATCTTAGTAGTTTTAGAAATGCCAGTGCCAGGTGACAGTCACCAGAAGCACCAGCTATAGTGAAATGGAACAGGCTGAGATCTAAAAGACAGGCTGTGTATGTGCTGTTGAGGGTGGGGACCAAAGAAGTACTTTATTTTTGATGTTCTTGATTTTACAGGAGATTTTAATTTTTTAGAAAAAAATTAAATTTATAAGGCTGTGAGACATCTGTGCTATAAAATGTTTTATATTGTTAATATTTGAACTTAAAATAAAAGGCTAAAAATTAGGGTCAGAGCTATAAGCACCAAAAACTAACCAGAAATGGAAATGTTCATTTATTGTGATGCAGAAGACAATGACCTAAGCAGTTTGATAGAGGGCTGGGAACAGCGTCCAAGCCTATGAATCTCAGTCTTTTGGAGGTTGTTGTACAGCGGTCACCTGCATGTCAGATGTTTGGATTGAGACTCACAACATAGGCAAAACTGCAGTTGTAAAATAACAACAAGAAAAATTCTGTAATGGGAGGATCACTATAACATAAAAAACTGTATTAAAAGGTAAAAGCATTAAAAAATATTTACTGATTAACTTATAATGGTTTATAAATATATTCAGGCTTAAAAAGGTATATTTAGCCTCCTTGTCTTTGCTAACTTTGTTGGGTTTAAGCTATTTGGATAAACTGAGTCATAAATTTTTGTATTGATACTAAGAGGTTTGGACCTCGTCTCCTGGGGAAAGAATGTTGCTTCTGTGTCAATCACTCTGGGGTAACTGGAGATTCAATGGCCTTGTTAATGACAGGGAACAGACCACTCACAGGGAAGCTGGATGAAAACTTGCTCAGCTGGTCTTGCTGGTTAACAACCCTGCTTCCAGCTCTAACAGGCCCCTGATGATCTTGCTTCTTCTTATCAACAGACTTGATGGCTTTTGTTCAAGAATGGGTCAATACTGTTCGACTGATGGTATTGAGGTTCTAGTATCACCCCCTTGAGCCCCTGGACAGACAGGACCCAGGATTGAATCCTGTCACCGGTACTTGTGAAGGGGGGAAAATGTAGGGCCCAGGGCAACTTTCCCAGGTCAACTTGGTATACACCTGCCAAGATGGGTTCTATAAATCAGCAGGAAGGTAGACCTGAGTCTCAGTTTTCCCTAGGGCAATGCCAGCTCTTAGACTCCCTCCTGCTCCCATTTCACCCTGGGACCTGTTCCTTGCCTTTGCAGGAGACAGCTAGATATGGACTTGTTCTGTGTTTACCCTTAGATGACTAATTCAGTTTTTTTTATTAGCTTTAATTCAAAATCATCACAGAGTGTGGAGTTCTAGTCTTGTATAAGCTGCTAACTTATTAGAGACTGTTAGGAACTACAAGTTTGTAAGTCGTCTTTAAAGCACTGATATAACTAGTTACAGGAATAAGCCTTATTTAGTTCCCTGCATATGTTTTCAAAGTCAAACTTAAAACAAACAATGAGAAACAAAGTTTGTCTAATCAGACATACCTAGGCAGCCTTTATACTTCAGCAATCTGCAGAATATGGCATTTAAAATAATGATTAAAAAGCTTATTATATTAGACAGAGACTCTGAAATCCTAGCAGTAACTCAAGGTCTCCAAAACAGCTTATGAGACACTATGATGTCTCCACCTGGATTACGACGATGCTGACCACTGGGCAAGATGCCCTAGTGCGATTCCTGCTGCCAGGACCCGGTCCAGCCTATGGACAAACAGCCAGACCTTGGAGAATTGATTGCACCACTTTTGCCTACACCATATAAGGTCAGTCTTTTCCATGTCCCTCTTCCACAAAAAAAGAAAAAAATCGCCTTATGGGCCTGGCTTAGACAGTAAGATTGCTGTTCTGGATATTTCTGCCTCCAGTACCTGGGTATGACTAATTGTATATGGACTCTGGTCCCTGTCATTTTTAATAGATTCAAAAACTATTTGGTCTGTACTCAGATATACTTCATTTATCCTTCTGAGGTCTCTAAAAGATTAATGGCTAGGGCAGTTATAATGTCAGTTTAATAGCAAAAGGTATCCAGATTCTACCACAAAGCTACAGCTAACTTGTTAGCTAGGACCCAAAGGTATGAGTCTATTTCTTCTGTTTACAGACACCTGTTATCTGCTCTTTTTCTAAATTTTAACTTCTGCTCCTAGTTTAAACTTATTGCAGTTGGCTTCCACTTGGCTGGCAGACACATCTAAGCATAGTTGCTGACTACAACCTGCTCTGAATGGCAGTGAGCCCTGGACTTCCTGAAAGCTGCTGTGGACCAGTTCAGCTGATGTGAACGCTCCCTGTCCCTTCAATGGAATTTGATGAATGCTCCACTGCCTAAATTTCTTCCCTACCTTTGGCTAGCCTTTCAACCTGCTTGAGCGCAGATAACAATGCCCCAATGTTAGCTTCAAGTAGTTGCAGAAAGGAACACTTCGTCCCATGCTCCCTGCCCAGAATAGATTGAAAGGCTGAGACTAGGGGAACTCCCTGGAATGGGGACAAGATAACACCTAGAGTGCCTGTTGATAGACTAGAAAAACAGGCCCAGAGTTGTCAATTAATGGATTTATTAATTTAAGTAGTTCCACACCTCCTTAAAACCAGGGGCAAGCAGGACCCAAGATTGGGTCCTGTCATCGGACCAATGTGAAGGGGAAAATGTAGGAGCCAGCCATGATAAGCTAAATATGAACAGATAATCCAAAGGAAGGTCTTTACTTCCAACCATTATCACCTGCTGAGAAGGACTCAGCCATGGTAAGGCTAATGGAGGCCTGAGTCTCAGTAGTTTATCCTGAAGCAATACCTGGTTGCAGGGAGAACCACAAACTGAAATTGCCTGAGCACCACCAAAGAACAGACCATCCAAAGGAAATGCCTAACGTTCCAACTGCTGTACATAGGACCACCTGCCAGCACACACTCACCAGGACACCCCTGGACAAATGCCAGCCAATCAGGGGTCCTGAACCTCAGAAACCCCTCACTCCCACCTTTACTACTATAAAAACCCAATTCTAACTGAGCTTGGAGCTTTCCGTTTATTCTAATACGATGGACATGTGGAGAGACCAAGTTTGCAAACTTGCATAAAATAAAGGCTCTTTGCTTACATACGGGACTCAGTCTTCTTGTTGGCTTTTGGAGGACTTGGCGGATTTGGGCAAAACAGTTTGTGTATGTGTGTGTGTGCGTGCACATGGAGTATGGGATACCATCAAGTATTGTTTCTACTTTTTTTTTTTCTGACACAGGATTTCTCACTGGCCTGGAGCTTGCTAAGCTGGCTGGTCAGTGGACCCTGGGAGCCCCCTGTCTGCCTCCAGTGCTGACATTACAAGTGTGAGCGCAGTCTTGGCTGTTCTGTGTGAGTCCTGCAGATCAAACTCTAGCTTTGGTTCTTTTGAGAGAAGAACTTTCCAGAGCAAGCATTTTCCCCTTCCCCAGTTTTAATGTTTTAGAACAATGACTACAAAATTCTAAGCTCATTTGGGAGCTTAAAACCCCAGAATTTAGTCATTTCTTCCTGAGTTTGAAATAATTTCTCCCTGAGACTTTTTGACAGGGGATCTGTGTTAGGTAGAGCTGTGAGGGGAGACTTCATCAAACACCTTAAATAAAGCTTTCTCCCTTTTGTTTTGCCCCTTGTTTAGTTAGTTTTTTTTTTATTTTGTAATGAGGAGTTAGTCTGTTTCAAGTGCACTTATATAGCTTTTCAGACACAATTTCCTCACTGTACCTCTTTGTTGTCTTTTTAATAAGTTTTATGCTTAATTCATAATATTTATATTTCTACATGAACATTCAGAACTAAAATGTGAGGTTTCACATATCATGTACCTACACATTCTAAACAATCTATGCAGGTTACAGTGCTCATTACAATTCTAACCTCAGATTTTCATTCTTTGAGGAAAACAACAAAGCAAAAAGACTACACCTTCTCTAAGCTCGGTACAGTAAAATACCTCTCTCTGAGATATTAAAATCGTTCTTACATGCTAGACAATTCTTAGTCTTTGACATGAGTTCTCATCAAAGATATTAAGTTGCTGCTGGAAGTTTAGACATTTAACTTTGAAGCACTTGCTTAGATAAATGATAACCATTATTTTCAATCTATTTTTATTTTGTTTTGCTTTTTGATTGATTTCTCCCAAACTGTCCAAAGGGCTGCACCAAACCCAAACACTGGCCACAAATCATAAAAATGTGCCAGGCCAGAGCCTCCATGTTTCTCCATTTTGGAGCACAAAGAGTCTCCGAGGTGAGTTGAGGCACTTTCTTCTCTGCGTGGGCTGCTCTGGGTTGGTTTATATCAGCCCAGACAACCTACGGCAGAGCACAGCCCAGCTAAGCTGGTTCAAAACAGTCTGCCCAGGAGCCGAGGGGACTCAGCTCCGATCCTTTGCTCGGTCCCTGCGCCCTCTGAGGGGAGTGGCATTGCCCTTACTGCAGTCTGTGTGCATAGGAGAGGGGTCTGCCCTGCGCTGGGTAAATAAGAGGGGCGTGTCGGGGTGGGGCGGGGCGGGGCTGGGCTTGGCCTTCTCTTCTAATTTAGTTGTGTGATGCTGGGGAATCACTGCACACCTGAGCGCCATCTTCTATTAGAATCACAGAGTTAACGGGGCTCCAAGGTCCGCATCCATTTAAAGGGTTTAGTTTCCAAGGTGAGGACAAGACAAGAAGGCAAACACATCTAAAGGAAAGAGCCTTATTTATGAAAACGTTCTCTCTTGGGGGGGTGGTGGTGGTGAAGGCGTGAACACTGCTGCTCTGATCACAGTTTAATTGCTTATAAATTGAACTTCCTTCTGCCCATGGACCACAGAGGGTTACTTACTGGCGATTCAATGTCTTCTAGAAGTAAAACGGAACAGCGTTCACATTTCAACAGAGTTTGGGCCCGGTGCATTATTTTCTTGACGATCTTCTCCAGGTCAGTCTGTTCTTCAAAGAGGTCATTGACTACCTCCAGCAAAGCCTAAGACAAAGAGAGGCCCGGATTTAGGAAGTGTAAGACTGAAAAGCATCCAATCGTGCCACAAGGACATGTGCTCAACTATGTTCATAGCAGCTTTGTTTGTCGTAACCAGAACCTGGAAACAATCTAAACGCCCCTTGACCGAATGGATAAGGAAAATGTGTTACATTTACACAATGGAGTACTACATAGCAGAAAAAAAGAATGACATCTTGAATTTTGCAGGAAAATGGATGGAGCTAGAAAACATTTTGAGTGAGGTAACCCAGACACAGAAAGACAATTATCACATATACTCACTCATAGGTGATTTTTAAACACAAAGCAAAGAAAACCAACCTACAAACCACAATCCCAGAGAACTTAGACAACAATGCAGACACTAAGAGAGACTTACATAGATCTAATCTACATGAAAAGTAGAAAAAGACAAGATCTCCTAAGTAAATTGGGAGCATGGGGATCTTGAGGGAGGGCTGAAGTAGGGAAGGGAGAGGCAGGGAGGGGAGCAGAGAAAAATGTATAGCTCAATAAAAAAAAAGACTGAAAAGCATTGAGTTTGCCTTCCCACAAAACTCCAGGTAGTATTTTCATACGGCTACTTTTGAAAACATTTATGGTTGTTCTTTCATAGCTCTGTGTGATTCACTTTATAACATACTCTCTTAAATTGAAAAATAGAGCCAGAGAACGGAGTTGATCAGTGTAACAGGAACCATGGAGCCACTAATGCAGGTCTTTTACCCACCATAGCGGTTTTTCTTCAGTATGGCCGAATACAAAAATCAACATTTTATAAATAACAAGTATGTGGATTTTGCCAGAACAGATTTGTTTCAGAAAACTGCAAAACAGCCTTTCTTCACTATTAAGAAAAAAAATAGCTTCATAGCTCAACTTGATACCTATTCTCACTAACACATATCTCTCCCAGAATTCTGAAAGAATAATGCAGGTAAATGTTAATTAAGGCTCCAAGTATTCAAATATATATTCTCACACTACTCTCTCCATTCCAGAGGAGGAAATATTGCCTCACTCCCAACAGTTCAGTAGAACATTGAGATATTACTGCATATCTCAGGAAAGAAACCCTCATTAAAATTGCTATCAAGATGGCAGATTGAAAGGTATGTAAGTTAAAGGAAAAAATTTAAACTTCATGTTGAACACTGTGTACTCATTGCAAAATTAAGTCGCAGTGATCTACTATTTTCTCTAGCCAAGGGAGCTTGGAATTTATGCATCGAAGTAATATTTGTTTGGAATTTTTAATGACGATTTTTTTGTGCAGAATAACAGGCTATTTAGAGGTGGCAGAAATTAAGCTTCTCTTTGAGCCATCAGGGAACTGGCTTGTGATTTATTCAGCAACATTAAACAAGACGTTTGTCTGTCTGTCTGACTTTTCACAAAGGCACTCCATGAATCCACAGGTTCAAATTTATTCATCGGGGTGTTGATCGCCAGCCCAGAGGCATGACTAATTTTGAAACTTAGGAATGAATTTGATTTGTTCTGAAATAATTTGAAACAAAATTTCTTCTCTGATTCTCTTGAGATTAAACAAACAAACAAACAAAAATTCGAATGAGTTAAGCGATCTGCAAAATGAACCTAGCTGGTGGCGCTACTGAAAGGACCAAAGTTCCTGGGGAGTGTTCTCCTGAAAAAGGCCCTGCCTTGCCTATGGATAAGCATCATATGGCCCCAGGAGACCAAAGCAAAGAGAACTGCTAAGAGTCAAATCCTATGCTAATTGAAGCCAGTCTCTTTGGCATTAGGCAGCAAACCTGCTGTGAGAGATCACTGTGCTGTAACTTCATGTTCAAAGACATTTAATGGGGGACAGTTCTTACCCAGGGAAGGATACACAATTGATTATCCAATCCCAAATAGCCCTGAAAACAGACATACAAGTAACATTATGCAGACCAAACAGGCTGTGTTTATGTATTTAGGAATGTGTTTGTGTGTGTGTGGTATGTATGTATGTATGTATGTATGTATAAACATACAAGCATGCAACAACAATTACTGAAAACAGAGGCCATGAATTTGAAAGGAGAGCAAGGAGGGGTGTATGGGAGAGTTAGGAGGGAGGAAATAGAAGGAGAAGATGATCTAATTACAATCCCCAAAAATAAGAGAAATAATTTCTTCAAAGAGAGACAATTGTCTGAGAGATTACAAGCAAGTCCCCTGCTATTAAGGGGGAAACATCATTACCTTAATCACTGAGATCATCTTTTCCAACGGATGATATTAACTGAACAATTATTTAACTTTTCAATTTGTTATGATTGCACGGAGAGCCTCTGGGACCTCTGCGCATGAACATTTCTCTCAGAGGAGGAACCAATGCCCCTGGAGTCTTGCACTGATAAATTGTATGACCGTAATTTTATTCCTTCTAATTAAAAATGGCTGCTTTGCTAACGAATGGTAAAAGTTTTACAAATCGCCAAAGGCTAACTCCAGAAGAGGCAGAAAAGAGAGGAAGCCTAGGTTGACCAAACATCTGGACAGGCTGTCTAAACAGTTCACAGGTGGGATGTGCCCTGCCTGATAACTGTCTCTTCTGTGTAGGAAATAGCTGGGAACTCCTCCTTCCTGTTGGTCTACACCTGAGCTGAGTCTTGGCTCTTCCTCTCTCCTAGCCACACATCCTTCCTCTCTTGATTCCTTAGCAAGTCTCTTGACTTTGCATAATCCCATCCCTAATATCATACTTTCTCAAATTTAGGTCCTTAATTCAAGTATTTGCTGTCCACAAATTTGTGTAATAAACCCAAAATCCCCTTCTCACCCACCTCAGCAAGCCCTGCATCTGTCACCACCGATTTGCAGGGAATGTCTCACTTCTGACTGTCCTAATGCCAGCTACCTTTTCTCTTGACTTCAGTATAGTTTTCTAACTCCTCTCCCGCCTTCTAATCCCTTCTCATTATTTCATTCTTCTCAGCCCTTTACTGTTTCCAAGGAAGCCAAGTTGTTTTTCTTCTTTAAATGAATTGGAATCAGCTCAAAAATCTCCTACTGGCTTTCCACCACACTTAAAATCAACAGTGCCTGAAATGCCTATAGGTCTTTCTACCCCTGGCCCCTGTTCACCTCCTGATCTTCATTTGCTTGCTGTTCATCCCCTCCTTCTCTCCCTTTATTCTCCCGCTTCAAGACACAGGACCTTTGCACTGAATGTTCCACGGTCTGAATGCTCTGCCCAGGTCTTCACATGGTCTCTTGTTTCATTCCACTTTGGTTGTCTCCTCATAGGTACCTTTTGTCACCCTCAGACATAAATGACTGTTCAGTCTACCCCATCCACAGCAGTGTCCAGCCCTTTCTTCCACTTTAGCTTTCTTTCTGGCACGATGTGGTTTTTGTCTTTATTTTTTTCTATTATTTACTGTTACCCCTAGAATAATAAGTTGCGTCAGGACATAACAGGACAGTGTCTCATGAGAACCACACAGCACACAGTCGTTGAACGAGTAAGTGAACTGTGCCATACACAAGCATGGAAAGACCGTCTCAGTCTGGCAGGAAGGTTCCCTTAAGAAATTCATAGTGCAGTTGTGGAGGAGCGTTATCATCAAATATTATAATAATGTGATGGGTACCCACACTAGAGCAAGGAAAACACGTAAGTCGAGAAAAGAAGATGAGCAGGATCCTGGAGGCTAGACGAGGCAGCCGGCAGCCGGAAGGGAGAGCTGCCATTCGAGACAGAGGGGATTGTGGGTAGAAGTGGGGCACAGTGGGACAAGCGGGTTGTTTTCTAGAAGTCGTGGAAGCAGCAGCTGAAGGAAAGACGTGAGCGAGACGGGGTTCTGAGAATGAAAAGGAGGCCCAGTTGGAAGCAAGGTGCACTCTGCCCAAGGAAGAGGGCTGCGCAGTCAGACTGCTCATTCATCTGTTTCCTATGAAACAGTCGTGGTCAGAATTCCTAGTAAATAAGCCGTAACCAATTTAATGGCTGAGGATTTAATCCTTTTTCTAAAAAACGGTTTCTTAGAGAGTAGAGTTCTAGACTGCAGCAGTGATCGTCACATATTTAAATGCAGAGTGAACTTAATATACTTTAATCTCTAGGTGATAATTTAATGCTCTCTGAGCTTCCCAGTGCATTTTACTACTCGGGTCTACGATTCCTGGAGGTGTGCAAGATCATTGCCTCTTGTGCTGCTTGATAATTCTCTAACATGGCGCTTGTGAGGACACGGCGCTTGTGTAAACACGGCGCTTGTGTGGTTGCCTTGCACACCTTGTGCTGCTCTTCCAGAAAGCCTTTCAAACAAATTCTGCAAGAAGCTTGCAGCACACGGTGCTCCTTGAAGGAACGAGTGTGTAAACTCCTCAGCAAAGGCTTCCCCTTTGAGGCTCCAAGCTTCAAGGCTATGCTGCCACCACATAGGATAGATGTGAGACCAATTTCCTTTCTAAAAGAAACCAGCTCTATTGTCCAGAAACAGTAATAACAGAGAAATTGCATTTACTTTTATCTACAACTTGCATTTTGTATAAAGAGGCCTTCGGCCCTGGCATTGCAAGATGGTACCAACGAAAATGGTTCCTGGACTATACGGTGACCATCTGCTGCTTTTGAAAGATGGGGTGACTCACAGAGGCTGTGAAGGCAGTGAGTTTGAGCATGGTCCGCAAGGGCTCCTTACTCACCCTGCTCCTTTCATATTCTTTCCTCGAGGCAGCAAAGAGCTGAGCATTAGATATGGCGATTCCACAGAAGGGAAGGTACATCTGCATAACCTGGGGGCACAGAAAGCATTAAGAACGTTAGAGCGTCCACCCCAACGCAAAGCCCACAGCTCCTGCATGTGCAGCGCTTTGCTTTCCGTCAAATGAACCGCGTTGAGTTGTTAATGACACCGTCTCAGCTTCAGGGCGCATGTTTTTCCAAGTTAGCTCTAAGACGGTGTAAATCAGTAACTGGGGAATTCATGTCTCTGAAAGCATAAAGTGGGTGAACACAGGAACTAGGCCTTGCTGTAGGAATTCCTACCACCAGTAGCCTTTAAGATACCAGCCCGCTTGGGTGTGGGTGTGGTCTCTTATACTATAAATGCAGCTGTAAAGTCTGCTCTCACTCTGTTGCTTCTGGTTCTCACTTCCGCCTGCTAGACTCTGCTCCTGTTCCCCATTCATGCAGAGGACTTTTATCTAGGACAGTGATCTGTATGTTTTATACTTTAAAAAATCCTGGCGTGCCCCAGGCAGTCTGGCAGAGTAGCCGCGAGCACCGTGGGTCCCGGGAGAGCGGCTTGCGGCTGGGCTGGCTGGTCCCGCCAAGCGGCGAGCGGGTGTGAGCAGGCGGCGGGTAGAAGGCACATGGGCAGACACATTGTACAGAATAGAATTAGATATTTATTACTTAAGAGAGAAAGAGAGAGAGAAGAAGAGAGAGACAGAGAAGGGCCAGAGAGAGAGAGAGAGAGAGAGAGAGAGAGAGAGAGAGAGAGAGAGAGAGAGAGATGCGGGCGTGTGCCAAGATGCCGGGGCAGGGGTCTGGGGGGGGGGGGTCGCCGGGGGTGGGCGTGGCTTGCCCCTTAAAGGCCCAAAAGAATAGCAGTATGTCTCCCTAAATAAATAACCCTTTATTATTCATAATTCTGAACTAGTGTGGGATTATTTTGTGACTTCCGCCTTCAAGGTCTGATATATCTTGTGTTCTACCTTTGAAAAACAAGAAGAGAACTGGAATATGCCCCTGGAATTTAAAACTTGTATTCACATTCATACTTAGAGGTAGGCGGGACATGAGCAAATCCCTGTATGCTGATATGTCTACAAATGGAATCTCGGCAAGGCCTGCCAGCTACCAGACTTAATCATGCCTATTAGGATGGGCCTAGTAGGAACTTAGGGGTTAAAGGCCTAGTACTCTTGTGTAAAATATCTCTGCTTGGATCCCCTACCAGGTAGATATGATCGGGCAAGAACGCAAACCAGCGTGGCTCTGCAGCAACTGCCTGAGGAAATGCTAGGAGCCCAAGAGAGAAAACACCTCCTTTGGGAAGACCTGGATACCCTGAAATGCCTTACCTAGAGAAAGTCTTTCTCCACAGGAGGTCAAAATCTGAGGACTATACCTATCTCTAGAGCATCTGATTCCAGGCAGATAGATGTTCTAGCAACAACCCCTGAACTTTCCACAGCATGAGAGGAATAGGTGACTTTCTTCCTGGGGTTTGTCTAAAGCAAACTGGAGATGACATGGTTTGTGTCAATCTTCTTCTGTACCCCACCCCCATTCCTGTGCCCTGTGAAGAGGAACAGAGGGACGCAGAGCAGTTCCGGCAGTGACCAGTAGGGGCAGTGCATCGCTCACTGTGGAGACAATCCACACAGGAGTGCAGGTGAGGCACATCTGGGCCACCCAGAATGGAGTTGCCTGGACTGAAGGGAGACTTGGGGGATGATAAAAGGCAAAGCACAAATCCCATTCTTTATCCTTTGTTTTCTTGCTTCTACTTCCTAGCTATAGACCTCTGACCTGGAGTCCCTAGAGGAATTTCAGAGCTCTATAGCATAGTTAAAGCTATGACCTCATTCTTTTTTTTTTCTCAAAGTTTATTAAAATACAAAAGTCTCCATTTCCGCCCCTCCTCCCAACACCCTCCCACTCCCCTCACTCCCTCCCCTCCTCCCTCTCCATCCCCAAGAGCAGTCAGGGTCTCCTGCCCTGTGGGTAGTTCAAGCTCCTCCCCCCTCCCTCCAGGTCCAGGAAGGTGAGCATCCAAACAGACTGGATCCGAAAAATCCAGTATATGCAGAGAAAACAAGTCCCAGTGTCATTGTCAATGGCTTTTCAGAAAGACTCCGGGCCAGCCACATTCAGAGAATCCTACCACATTCAGAGAATCTGGCTGGATCACGTGCTCGCTCAGTCCCAGTCAACTGGCCTTGGTGAACTCTCATTAGATCAGTCCCCTTGTATCAGTGGGTGATCGCACCCTTCGCGGTCCTGATTTCTTTTTTCATGTTCTTCCTCTTTCTGCTCCTCATTTGGACCTTGGGGGACTCAGTCCGGTGACCTCATTCTTAAAGAGGCAAGAGAAACAATAGAAGAGGAACTAAGAAGCACAAAACCTAACAAGCTTATTTTTCCAGTCTCTCAGGATGAATTCCATCAGCGGGCCTTCGAGCTGTATCCCGGAACAAATGCTATTTCTGCTTCTCCTCTTTCTCATTTCTTGCTCTTCCTCTTCACGCTTTAATAAGTTTGCCGGCAAACCTCCTGGTTCACACAAAGCTTCCAGAGCCCTCCAGCACTCCCCACCTTCAGCCAGAATGGGACAACATTCAACATCAGCTCTACACTGAGCAGGTTTCCTTGTAATTTCCTGTTTGGGGCAGGTATATTTTGTTTGTTTGTTCTTCCTGCTGTGGAGATGGTGGCTATTATGACGACAGAGAGGAGGATCTATGGGTCACTGTTGTGAGCACACTGAGTCAGAAGCCTAGGTCAACACGTTTGTGTCTTTCACGAGCCAGAATTTACTAAACAGCCATAAATTCACATGACTGCTGTTGCAGATCATCCAACTTCCCTTGATAAGCCTGGATAGAGCGAGCACAGGCTTTTTATTCCAATCTTAATTACTAATATGAACTTTCAGACCACATATTACAGATTGCATGTGTGTGTGTGTGTGTGCGCGCATATGTGTGTGTGTGTGTGTGTGTGTGCCCTATAGAATGACTACAAAGGATTCAAAAGGCAGGGGTTTTGAGATGCTTTAAAGAAGCCTTCCCCCACTCCCAGAGGCCAAAACTGGGAAACTGATAATGATCTAAGAATCTCTGTATTGACAAAGAACTCTGTGGAAGAAGCTAGAAGCTGCTGTAGCTGCTGGTGGCAGAGTCAGAATTAGAGCCGGGCTGTAGGAACGACCTGAAATGGCAGGCAGGACCAGGTCAGGTAGACTGACGAATGGCCAGTCTAGGAAGCTGATCAAGAGGTCGGGCAGACCGCTGTTGGAGTGGGCCTCATCAACAGCGTGACTGAGCTAAGCTGAAGCTCCGGGGACAGCTGGGAGTTGTACTCAGATGACAGGTGACAGATGGGGCGCTCACCATTACAGTGATGGGGTCTACCTCTTTAAGGGGTCCAGGTGAGGGAGCTACACTCCTTCCTTGGTCTGCTATGCATGCTGAGTTCTTGGGCTTGGTTTTGCTGATACAATTTTAATACAACATGGATTCCCACATTCTCAGTTCACCACAATGAACTTCTAGAGTAGCTCTACCAGGAATAAGTCGTTTGTCAGTCTCTGACTCATGGGTGGTATCAGGCCGATGGTCCCATTCATATCTCCAACCAAGTGCAGGGGCATCCTCCATTTTCAAGGTGGTGTCAAAGACTGATTGTAAGATGGGGTCTCTCAGGGCAAGACACTGTTTTGTACAATATAGACGAAGTGAAAGCCAGTCTTATGCAGTATGGAGTGATATATAAGTAACAACCTGACCTCAACAATTATGTATTCAATTCTCCATCACTTATTTTGATTATGCTTGTCTTCTGGATCAAGTCTAAGGTGGTGTGTGAGTCCAGCAAATAGGAAGAAGAAGCAGTCGAATGAATTTATGAACTGTTCTCTAAAGCCTTTCTTCACTTGGCTTGTGATATCAATTATTGAACTCTCTCTACCAGACTTTATGTGTAATTAAAACATCTGGAATTTTAAATTTTTTAGATTAATTATGTTTTACATGTATGAATGTTTGCCTATTGATGTGTCTATACATCAAGTGCAGTCCTAATGCCCAGGGAGGTCAGAAAAAGGTGTCAAATCCCCTGTAGTTACAGGTGGTTGTGAGTCATCATATTGGTCCTGGAAATTGAACCCCGGTCCCCTGGACGAGCAGCCATTGCTCTGAACTGCTGAGCCATCTCTCCAGCCCCTAAGAGAATCTGAATTTTAAGCCATGGTGTTTTTGTCCTTTTCGTGGCTTTTCTGTATGAAATTTAACAAGCCACTTAAATGCTGTAAATCTTCGTTTTTATCTGTAAGACACCAAGTTTATGGCGGCTTTTAGTGTTTTGCGGCTCAAATGATTGGAAATATCAGTGAGTCGTAATGTTATGCTTGCTGGAAGTTACACAGAATTCAATAAACATGCTTGCACCTTACTCAGGAAATGGAATTGGTAGTAGAAACTGACAGAGATGCAGCCCTTTCATCAAGCAAGAGGGCTTGATGCAGGGTGGTAGGCACGGTGTGCAGGTTTCTCTGAGAACTGCATCTCTTTGACCTTCGCAAGGATGCACTCAACAGCGGCACTTTTTAAAACGAGAGCTGAGGTTTGCGAGCTCACAGCAGGCTATTGGGAGATAATTCTTCACGGTTCTCTCCTCCTCCCCGCACCACCCCCCTCTCCCGTCAGCACATTTTCCAGAGGCACCGCTCGGTCAAGGATGCTTTGGCAATGAAAGCCCTTTGAAGGTAGAGACACTGTCTCCTCCCTAGTAAAGAACAGAATTATTTGCTATCCAATGTAATAAAGATGATTTCTTCCCCTGGACAGAGGTCGATTTGGGGGTCCTCCTGCAATGCGATGTGTCCCGTGTGGAGTTATAGCGTGAGGGACCAGCACAAATGCCGGAGCTTGGCTTCTTTTGCTTCCTGTGAGTAATAAACTATTCTCCGCCACTGATCCGGGAGTCTTGTATCCCTTGCAGGACCCACGAGACTGTGGCCCACTAACCTGCTACTTTGCAGGTGGACTAGAATCAGACTTTTTAA